GGCTGCTCGCGCGGGGGCGGGGGGAGAAAGGAGCTGTCCCGTTCATCGGGTTCAGGGCGTTTTATATGCTGGGGGAGGCGGTGGTAAGGAACCGCTGGGGTTTCTCCACCTAGCGTAGGTTTGCTGAGTGCAAGGTGGCAGGTCGGTCCCTCTGCTGCCAGGAGGGCCGATTTTTACTTTCGTGGCAGCAGCAGCCATCTGAATGTGGTAAAAAACGTTGTTAGTTGTCTGTGTCTTAGCCTCAAAGAAGTGCCAGAGGTAAGGTAGCTGCCCAGTCCTGAGAAACATTACCTGTGTCTTCCTGCTAGAAGCGTATTTTAAAGAACTGGTAGAAATGTTTTAATTTGAGCCCAAATGGTGTGTGATAATTTGGTTGTGTGGTTTTCATCTCTGCTGCTAAAATACTTCCACATAACTGTAATAAATACTATAGGAATCAGGCAAGGAATTAATCTTAGAGGTGCTTACTTTGAAGTAACCTGTTGCTACTCTTCGTCTGGAGTTGGCCTCCTGCACTTGAGTTCCACTTCCAGTGCGTGGTTTCATACTGGTCTTCTATGGCTTCTGTTGGAGTTCAGTCTTGCTGCAGTACAAGCAGTTTGCACTGTTGAGATTGTGTAGTTCATGGATGTTTTGATGTTAGGCACAGGGGAGACGTACCAGTTTTCTGAACAGGCTTCTGATAGCCTGGAGTTGTCTTTATTCTATGGGCACAAGTGGAGAGCAGGCAATCATGAACCAGATCACACAATGCAGGCTTTGAGGGGAGTACGATCAGTAAGTATTTCAGCATGTTTAGGTGAAGGTCACTTTAGCAGCAAGTTATGTAGTACTGCCTTGATTAATGCTATGTCTGTTTGTTAGAGATGCTCCTCTGTGTTACCAAAAAAGTATCCACAGCTTCCTCTCTTTAAATTTAGAGTTGAGATCTGCCTTGAAATAGGATCCGGATCTGGTGTGGTTTCAACATTTCTGGCTTCCATTATTGGATCCAGTGCACTCTACCTGTAAGTATAATAGCACTTAAACTGTTGCATGCGATAATAAAGAATATTTAGCACTGGCAATATCTATTTTTCATTTTCACGTTCTTAAAACTACCTTTTCAACAAAGAAATATTAGCTTGATTTTCCAGGATGTTGAAATCAAAGCGGAAAGACTCTTAACTACTTAATTAAGATTGTGCAATGGTTAAGTAGTGGTGTGACCAGAGTTCGGTTTTCCTGCTTCTTAAACAAATTGCCGAGCTCAGATTATTTGCTGGGTTGAATCCTGAATTTTAGTCAGGGACTAGTCTTACAGAGTTTTGATGGCATGACATTAATTGGTTACTTGGCTGTTGGCAGGAAGTGAGTTTAATGTTATTAGAGACCGTTATGCGGCGCTAGTATTGAGAAGGAAAGCTGATAAATGCTTCACATTTTCACATATTTCAACTTTCAGATAGTCATGTTTAAGAAGAGTTTCTAGTGTGTGGTCTGTTTTGTTTGAAGGCAGAAAAAACCTGTTTTGACCTCATATTCAGGATAAAACACAAATAATTTTGATACAACATTGGATATGTAAAACAAACAACGTATCATTGATTAGATACTTCTGTTATTCGTCTACAGATACAAATACATGCAGAGCTGTATGTGCAACTTAACCATATCAAGCTTAGTGTTCTCTTTTATAATGTTTATATGAGGCTGGTAATATGAATGTGCAGACAACCAGAGGGATGTGTTCTTTTCAGATTTTGGATTTAATATTTAATAAAATTTACTAGTAGGTATTCTAAATTTACAGCTATTATTTTAGAAGGTAGAACTCACTTGTCTGATAACTTGATGTTAGAGTCCATGAGACAGCAGTTTAAACTTCTTTCTTTCAGATTTCACAAAATATTCTCATCTCCGTTTTGAATTGTAGAATTCAGGGAATATTGTTGTGGAAAACATACACATAAACAGGTTATAATAATTTATTCAGGGTTAATGACTGCTCTCTTTCTTACCCTCAGAAATGGATTTAAAGTTTTGTTCAATTTCTGTTGTGTTTGAATTATTTGAATCAAAAGGGGTTCATTAAAAATAAACTTGAGTCCTTGTCTGGTAAATTAGCATTTCCCCTTATTCATACTAAACTTCCCAAAATAGCCACTGCAGGTGGAGTAGGAGTTCATGTAAGTTGTTAGATTTATTATGTTGGGAGTAGAACAGGAAGAGAGAACTTCTTTCATTAAGTACTTTCTATGTATTGTTGACTGGTTTAGCTGCTGATATACTGTGTTTTTTACAGGATTTTTTTGGTGTTTACTTGCAAATGTTGGAAAACTTGGAAAATGTTAATTGCATTGAGAGTACTCATTAGTTAGCATAAAGTTTGCAGTGTTAACCTTCCAGATACAGCAGTCAAATAATTTTGCTTTCAGATGTACAGATGTCAACCCTATGGCAGCTTACTGCACACTAGAGACAGCTCTGCTGAACAATGTTCACCTTCAGCCAATAATTACTGACTTGGTAAGACAGATGTTTCTGTAATACTATTTTCTCTTGTAATTTTTCTCATACTTACTACAGATTTGCTTGTAATCATTTCAGCTATTTACAGGAGTATGTTAATGAGGCCCAGTAATATTTTGTGTATAATACAGGTATTTATAAAACATGGCATTCTTCCAGAGGCGGTACTTTAAGTAATCATAAGCATACATACATCAACATCAAAAGTAACCATGAAGCCTAGAAGAACAACAGTTCCTTCAATAAGTGTCAAAGATTCAAATTCAGTCTAAAGCCAGTGTTACTGGACACATGTATCACAGAAAACTGGTTGCTTTCTAGAATGGTAATATAGTTGTATTATAGAAGACTGGTGAATTTATCAAACTCAGTAGTTTATTTTTTTCATACAAGACAATTTAATTATTAATGAATAATTTAAAGTTTATATTTACTTTCTAGTTATCCTTTGTAGGTCTGAATTTTTCATTATTATCTGATTAATCTTTAACAGTTGGTAACTTAATGCCACAGACTGGTTTTTTGGGGAGGGTTGTTTGTTTTTGGTTTTAAGTTGATCTTTGTGGCTGTTTAAGCTCATAAGCAAATATCTAGCACTATATCATTACACTATCATTACGAAATGTTTGTCTTCTGTATGTATCAAATAAAATAACCAAGGAATCATCAATTTCATCTGTAGGTCAAAGGATTGTCACCAAGATTAAATGGGAAGGTTGATCTCCTGCTGTTTAATCCACCGTATGTGGTAACACCTTCTGAAGAGGTAGGAAAAAACTGACTTCAAATACGCAGTAAAATGGGGTTTCTGCTGTTGGAGGATACAGCAAATAAAATAAGCTCTGGTATGAAAACTGAGCTTGCAGTTGTTCAGTTACTTCTCCTTGACTCACAGTGAAGGAGAGTCAAGTCAGTTATTTTCTGAAAGAGAGTAAAGGGTGTTGTGGAGCGAGCAGTTCTAACAGAACTGTTTTCAGTGCAAATGATTTCAGTTGCTTATTAAGACTAAATAGAAACAAGGATCACTAGCTGCTGCTTCTCAAAACATAATTTCTCCATCAAGTGTAAACAGCATAAAACTCTTATCGATAAGACTTGGTAAGGTACTCATATAGAAGACTTTCAATGGAAAATGCAGTTTTTCTGTAAAATAAATAACCTCTGCTTCCACAGATTTCTGATGCCTTCGGAACTTGACCCACAAAACACACAAAGGGTTTACTGGATACCTTCCATTTAGCAAGAGTTCACAACACGTTACAAGAAAATGTATATAAAGCATACGACACTGCAGCTCTTTCAGTTAGAACTCAGAGTAGAAGTAGCATGTTCATCTTGCAGAAAGAAGTTTGGAAGTAATTTTGCTGTATAAACTAATCTTCTGAATCAAAATTGTCAGATTTCTCATATAATCTCCCAAGGATAGAGATGATGGTGATGTTTCTCTTATAATTGCCATTGCCATTGCTATCAATCTGTATTAAGTAAGACAATCTTTGCTTTAACTCTTCCTAGGTGGAAAGCCATGGAATAGAGGCATCCTGGGCTGGTGGCAAAAATGGTAGAGAAGTGATGGACAGGGTTTTGCCATTAGTAGCAGACCTACTTTCAACAGGAGGATTATTCTACTTGGTCACAATTAAAGAAAATAATCCAGGTGATCGTTTTTCTAGAATCCTTAAATATGCCAAATTAGATTTCATCTAGTCTATACATTATCAGACTTTGACTGGTGAACAAAGAAGTATGTAACATCACTTTAATCTAATATGTGGGAATAGCAATGATTTAAGACTGATAGCTAGTGTTTATTGGCATGTTTCATATAAACTAAGCCTCGTGCTTCTCTTTCACGTTAGTATAGGCGACTAATCTACAGGGGGACTTTTGCATAACCTGATGCCTCTTGGAATCCTCTTTCTGAATGTAGAGCCTGTGCATTCAGTGTATGGTGAACTAGATGAAAGAATAAATTTCACTGGCATTAAGAGCTCTCTAATCTGGTTTGGAGAAAACAGTAATAGGTAGGTCCTGAGCCCAAGAGCTCTGCAAGACTAAAGTCTGAAACCTGGCTGTATCTCTTCTGAGCTAGGTAGCTCAGTGAGGGCAGTCGTTCCTCACTAAAGAGGAGTGTTGGGGACGGGGAAAAAGATGTTGTATACTTGAAGGCAAATGCCTTTATTTGGAAATGGATTTCATTTCCTTTTTGACCTGTGTAGAGAAAAAGATTCAGTAAGTGGGTTGCAGACTCACTCCTCCTGATCTAATGCTCGATGGATACACATTGTGAAATAATTTCAAGATTACTCATTCACAGCTGACTAGGCAGCTTTTGGGAGAAGATGTGATGAATTTCAGTTTCTCCTACAAATTAGCTTCATAATTGAACTATTTGCTGCTAGATACTATGTTGAAACACCACCAACGCACAAGTACCAAAATACAGTACTTTAGCAGAAAGTAAAGGTTTTTTTCTTCTTGGTATAAGACTACTTTGCACAAAAATACTGTCTGAAAGAGGGAGCTGACATCATTTGTAATCTTTGCCTTGCAGCTTATGTTTGGCAAATATTTGACCCTGCCTTTTATAGGTGACTCAAATGCAAACTTGGTTGTAACACTGCACTTTCAATTACAGATGAAATTCTGGAAACAATGAAGAAACATGGTTTAGAAGGCACAAGAGTACTTTCCAGGCAAGCGGGAAGAGAGATGCTTACTATTCTCAAATTCAGGAAATCTTGATAACTGTTCTTAATCTTTGACAGAAAGGGTACACAGAAAGCTGAACATAGCATATTAGTTGTCAAACCAACTTTTGAAGCCAGGATTTTCACACTTAAAGTATACCTTCACTTCCCAGCTACTGATCAATCAAACTGATTGGGCTTGGTATTGTATTTTTTTCTGGATATCAGCCAGCTTTTATCTGCTATCAATCAGAGGTACAACTGTCCTCTACCCATCCGTAGGATAGTTGTAGGTCAAACTGAGAAGTACCCTCTCAAGGGGCACTTTGGCATTTGCACTTCATTTCTAAAGTTTTTGGGGGTTTTTTTTGTTTATAAATAAAGTATTTGTATATTTGTCTTTTCAGTAGTTAGTCTCTACCTATGCTGTGTTTAAATAAATATCTGGAAGAAGAGATACTCGTTTTACTCATTAGACACTTCTCTTTCACAAGTCTAAGGCACAGCTACTGAGTTTGTTTTTATAGAGGGGAAACTACATACTTCTGAATGAAAAGGCCCAGTAACTGTGTATCAAGAGTTCTCACACAAATACAAGCTGGTATTCTCCTGAAGGCTTCTGGGTATTATGCATGAGATCACACTACAGATTGTAGAAAGGAGTTGCAGGGACACATACCACAGAAGGGAGAACAATCTGTGAAGCGATGGTTACCTCAAACTCATTATCTGGAAGGGAAAGCTACTTCCTGATAACCAGATCCCTATGAAGAAGCCTTCCTCTGCAGCAGCTTCCTCCCTTTGTAGTGCCCGTAACTGGTTCTAACACAGTGTTACCCCAGTGGCCTTATGGGGCATGCCCTGGGGAGTGGTCATAGTCCTCTCTCAGAAGGCACTCTGCCCTACAGTATGCAGCACAAACCCATCAGCCCAGAGCCAGTTTACATACTCAGCACCAGTAGCACTGTCTTTGAAAGCATTCTCAAAGACCTTTAAAGTCTGCTGTGAACAGCAGCCTGAAATGACGTTCTAATAAACTGGTACCTAGGTCTTTTCATGGTACTAAGGTCACAGAAGTGTTTTTTTTTTTTTTTTGGAGGATTGTAAAGACTATTCCATGTAAGACTTCAGAAATAAACATACAACTCTTGTTGTATGACCAGCCTGCAAATGGTAAAAATTCTTCTACAAGCCTACCACAAGCTCATGTAGCAGATCAGGAAAAAAAAGAGGTTCTGGGCACAGAAGAAATTTAACAGGGTAGGTCCTATTAACAGAGACAGGTGACTGCAAACCCTGAGGATTCCAGGAATTTTACTGCAAAGGAATATGAGAAGCTACTTTTGACTTTTATGTCACATACTGCCCTTAAGAAAATAGTAGAAATAGTGGATAGCAGGAAGCCTGGATTGGTGATGGGTTTACATCCTAAGGTCATCATTCCCCGGTCTGGAAGACTACTGAGGAGGAACATAGCTGTGCTTATTTTTTCTTAAATGAGGCTGCAAATACCTTCGTTTCAGTAATTTCCCTGTCAGTTTGTGTTTATACATATATGTCTGTATTTGTGTTCATATTTGTATGTTTATATGCATATATATCACACACACACACACACACACACAGGATGAGAGTCTAGAGGGAAGACGGAAGACTGAGTCATGGTGTATGTTGACCTTAATGTTATATGCAGGAAGAAGTTCTAGTACTTGGATCTAGCAAGTCTGAAAAAACACTTTTGATGGAGGTGAGGCTAGAACTGGGGGCCTCATTGCTTCTTTCCTTAGACAAGCTGTTCAGAAGGTATGTCCAAGACGAGAAACTGAAAGGAAACTGGTCACTTGTGAAATAACTTGTGTTTCTACAGTCTTCACTAGCGAAGAACATGAGGAAATTTCTGTTCTCACAACTTAGCAACGGGTCAGTACTGAGAAATCATATTTAAGTTTGAAAACCTCTGAAGTCTAGAACCTTTTCGACTTGATGGCAGAACCTTTGTTAAAGTCATTCTTCTTTTATTGTTCAGAGGACTGTCTTATGGAGAGTTCTTATGCTCAGTGATTTGCTTTTATGCAGAATTGCTTTTTTGACTGTAGTTGTAATGCTGTCTGAATGAACCACTCTAGCAGTTTTATGCTGTTAACAGCTTTGCCCAACAGAAGGTTAGGTTGCTTTGCAGAAAAGAGTCACAACATCAAAAGACGATTTTTTAAGACGCAGTCAAAGCACATAATAGATTGAAACTGCAAGTTTAACAAAAAGGAGTTTCAGTTAATCTATCTAGTTCTTAGTTATAACTAAAGAACTAGTTTTAAAAGAAGTAATGAAACGAAAAATCAGGCAGTCATCCCACACGATAGATCACAACACTTCAACAGCATGTGTGGTTTTAAAATAAACCATAAAGGGCAGAATAATTAAAATCAGAAGAGAAAATGAAATAAAGTGGAACATGCTAAAAAAACCCCACACCTCACTGTGCTGGACTATCTAAGCAACTGGATTTCTGGACAAGGAAATACACCTGTATATACCTTAATAAAACACAAGTCAGTAAGTGTCATGCTGTCAGCTGCAACTTCAGTAGAAGCACTATTCAAAGTGCTATCCAAGTAAGAACACAGATGAGTTCTGTAAGAATTGATTCTGATTATGCTGTCATCATCCAGGTGAAGACTTGGAACTAGTTACAGGCCAAATTGCTTGCTTTAATCCTTGAAATTTTGCTACGTCTACAGGCAGAGGTTTGCATGAACGCTCACCGTTTGCCAGGGCACACCTATTCCTTTCTCCTAGAACATGAGCAAAGAATGCAACAC